TAGGGAAAGTGTAAATGAGAAATTAATGATTATTTAAGTAACACACAAATGGTCTTGTAATTAACAAAGAGCTGTGAAATTATTCTTGTGTTGACCTTTGTTTCTTTCACTGCATTTGCTATTTATTTACACTCATGTTTATTTACACTTATTCATTTTAGAGGCTGTCCTCATATGCTGCTGTTCTAGATTTAAAAGGCAAAAGAATTTTTAAGAGGAAAACATGCAGGATTTACCAGTCTAGCGGTAGAAAACAACCACCCGGTATTTATGAAAGAATACAAAAAATAAAAAAAAAATTAACAGCGCAAGGAAAAAAAAAATTACAAACAGGGAACAAACAACATCACCATTTGCAAAGAAGGGCTTTACGAATTTAGGAGTTTTTCCAAGAATGACAGAGAGCTCCACTGTGTTTATAGTGTAACAGCTCAGGATGTAATGAAATTACACTGCAGAGTACTTTAACAGTGTCATCTCATTAGACCTACAGTTGGAACAAGAGAGCCACATAAAACAGGCAGCTGCAAATGACTCCATTCTCATCTATTCTCATTTGCTATTAAAAATACCTTTCGGCGGCTTTTTTCCTCCCTGACATCCCTACACAAAGTACCCTGCAAAGTATGATACATGCACCTATTTAAATTAACAAAGGAATGACTTATTTTAATCTCACTGTGCTTTGGAGTGCTTTGGCCATTTGGATGAGCAATATATCATTACATACAACCTTCCAGCGCTGCAGGCAAGAAACTCAGAGCGTGCAGCATTTGGTGGGAGCCAAACAATTTCTCTAGCACACAACTGTGTCAAATGCATGCATGTATTCATTATTGAGAACGCGAGGAAATAGCTTTGATGTAGTGGAAAAAAGAAGATGATAAAAGCACCTCTGCAATGTGTGTGCCATTATCAATGGTGGCAGATAGACACAACTGCAGAGCCTCCTATGTGATTAGTAAATATACATATAATTGCTGTGGCCAATTATCAGAAAAATGAGATCGGTAATTACAAGACAGAAAATTAACTAGAACTCTTATTAAGGCTTTGTTTCCAATTCAAACAATTGGAAACTGCTGGAAAATACAATTAAATCAAAAGTAACTGAAGAGTAAAAGGAGAAGCCAAAATTGCTTTACAATTTTCAAAGACTTCTATTAAATACAAGGAGTGTTTGATATAACATGCCCAAATTCTCTTTGAACTTAGACCGGGTGAGGGAGAGGTTATTGTTTCCAAACTTATAAATGACATCAATATAGGAAGGTTTCCACTGGAGAGTGGAAGGAACACAAGGAAATAAGCAGTGCAATTAAACTTTCTCCACTTCAAAGAACTGCGCATGAAAATTATTCATATTAATCCAGAAAATGCAGAGCAAAGTGTCAGGCTTGCTCACACGGCGTGGAGCCCAGCAGGTTTTGCCTCTCCCCATCGTTTTCCCTCATCCAGCCTTCCTTGTGCCCGAAGCGGCAAGCGCAGCTTTCCCCGGTGGGGCAGGTAGGAAATGCTCCGGGCACACATTACAGATCATTCAAAACACTACCGGGCGAAGCGACCGGCGCCCGCTCCCCAGGGACCTGACTCTGCCCAGCAACCCCCCCGCTCCGCTCTTTATTTTAAGTAAAACGTAAGCGGGGCTGCCAGCTCCGATCAGTCCGTGCTGGGGAACGGGGCAGGCGAACGGCACTTCGCACTAATTCGGTAGGCGATCATTTCTGCAATCACCAAGAGATGACGGACCCGTAAGAGAGTGAAACTTCGTTATGGGAGGGGAGGAGAAGGTGACGGACTGCTCTGAAGCCACCAGCGCTTCACTGTGGCCGTCCAAGCTAAGCCAGCATCAGGGCTCATGCAGGCAAGGGAAGAAGTTGCTCCATCAGTATCAACGCCTTGACCATGCGGCTCCTGCACCGCAGCGCAGCCAGAAGACAAGGTGCTCCTGCGCAAGCACGCAAGAAAATTTCACCTGGGTGAAAGTAAATGTTAAATGCTATTTTTTTTTTTGGCACATCTTTCTGTACAATGCAGATATTTCATCCCCATCCAAGGCTACTCTCTTCTCTACAGACCTCTCTGTCATGGCCATGCCTCGGTGGGTTTGCTCTCAGGAGCTCATGAGGAGATTGTGTGTGTGGGTGGAGATGAAGACAAGTGGATCTCAGTATGGAAACTCGATGCTTTAACACAGTCTTCCCAAGGATTTTAGACTGGGCGCCCCACAAATTTAGCGGCTATTTGCCTGACAAAGCGCAAGCCTTTTGGGAGAGCGCATCAATCTCAAGAAAATACTTGCTGGGAAAGGTGTTTGAGGACAAACAGATCAATGCGGATAAAAACTTTAATCTCGCTCCTGTGCGCATGAGCCAGCTTTTAATTTCCAGCGTAGGGAATATAGGGGAGAAGGAGGCAGGTTTTGGTTTTAACTGAACCAGGAAAGCACAGACCCTCAACTGCTTCCAAAGGTGAACACTGAAAAGCTGCCTCAAATGCTGCATTTTACCTTGGAAGGAGAAAGCACCCATTCGGTTATGGCATCTACCCAGGGAAACCAATGACCGAAATATTTCAATTTCTGATATTCTATGCAAGACCACTGGAGTAGTAGAAAGGTGAGAGTATTTTGTAGTTAGAGCTGTTTCTAATGAGAGAAAGTGTTGCTACTGCTACCTCTGTAACTTGAGCAATTGCAATATTGTTGTATAAAAGCAAAAATTTCCCAAACTACTCAAAATAAACACATCCTACATTGTATCCTGAAGTTCCCTGGACTTTGGCTGAGACTCAAACGGATGGGAATATGAGGAAATAAAGCAAAGCTACATGCGTCTCTACCAAGTCTACGCTGCCTGCATGATGCAATACGGCCACATTTGATGCAACCACAGGGAATGGTCCAGCTGCACTCCAGCGGCCTGCCTTATTTTACCCACCCGCACACCGAAATCATACTATAGAGGCAAAAAAAAGTAGAAAAACAAGATTTTAAAGGAGTGAGGAACAGTTATACTCATTTTAAACTAGGAAATGGTTCTTTCATTTTCATTAAATACCGCATCTTTTAACCAATAGCACAAAGACCTATGTATTGGGGATGCTGCTAAAATGGCAGTAAAGACACAAACGGTTGCAAGGGTCAAGGTACCATGGGACTCTTGCATCGCCAGGCAGTTTATTCCCAAGACTGGCTATTTCCCTAAGCATCCAAGCAACGTTCCCATAACCGGGATCTGCTGCAGGAGAAGACAAGATCAGCCTCTGATTTCTCAAAACCAGCCGAATTGCGCACACACAGTGAGAACGGGGAAGGGCAATAGGAAAAAAGTTTGAGTGATGCCTTTGCCTTGTGAGTAATGAACAGTTCAAGAAGGTCAACCCATTACAACTGAAACCGTTTAATTATTAATTATGCACAATCTATGAGCAAAAGGACAAGTTCAGAATGTTTAATGTGTGGTAACTCCGACTGGACCCTCTCTTGGCATTTTGTTATTAGCACTTGTCAGCAAGGTGCTCAGGCATAAAGAAAAAAGCACAGCAGCAGAAAATCTGAGCTAGCAGGAGGAGGGAGGGCTTTAAACTTCAAACACTGCTCCTAATATTTAATTTATAGAGTGCCAAGGCTCTGGTAAAAACCTTATTGACTTCCATGGAGCTAGGGGAAGTCACATTATCTAAATGAAGACCTGAGAACAAGAATACCTCCCTTTTGGAGGGATTGTCTCTCTTTTGAAGGGAGTGATAATATTACTATCTGTATCTTCTTTTTTTCAATGATGTGAACAAAGGAAGAGTGAACCACCTAACAGTGTGTCCAGAAGCCAACCAATCCTTTGCAACCTATGCAAAAAGAGCTTGAATTACAAGTCCGACCATTATCCTTAACTACTTCTCAAACCTATTATTCAAAATGTCTCCTGATCTGTTTGCACTCACTAAGCAGAGCAGTAGCAGAGATGCTACTGAGACTCCACAAATAAATAATGTCCTGCAAATGCAGAAATAAATATGGATGCGGCACCTTTCCCCTCTTTTCTGTCCAGCTTGGATGTTTACCTGGACAAATTCAAGAAGCAAATTCAAAGATACAGCTCTGAGTTGCTTATTTGCTTTGGAAACACTCCTATGTCAATGAAATTTGGGAATAGTTCTTGACTGGCAAGATAGACCAAAAGCATCCCATGCTTTACACACCTTCAGAGGTCTTAGCCCAACAGACAATTTATTGAGAGTGAAATATTTTCTCAAAGCAACTGGAAGTCTGAGATTTACCACAAGAGAAAGCCCACAATCTCCCTGTAAGGGGAAAATCAGCAAATACAGCTTTCTACCTAAAACCTTCAGGAAGGCGGTGCCAGCACCCCCAGCTACGTGTTAAGATCAAACCTGTGTTCCTCCTACGTCCTCCTTTGGGGGACCAGCCCGAGGGACGGCAGAACGATAGCAGCCTGTTGTCAACACGTCCCCAGAAGAAAGCCAGGCTGCACAGACGTGCAGGCTCGAAGACAAGCTCATCTACATGCTGTGGGCAACAGAGGTTGGTATTCCCAGTGGATGCACACACTCAGTGCAAATAGATTTTACCCCCCTCTTCTCATCTGCTAACTCCCTCTCTGTGAA